AGGTGCAGACTTACAAGTTTCATCATCTTGGAGGCTGATTGGGGCTGGCATTAAGTTTTCTTTTTGATGAGACATCATCAAATGGCGTCATCTTCATCATTCCTAATCCATCAGTTGAGTGTTACAGCACATTAAAGATGTAGTGGAAATGTTTTGCTCTTTGTAAGTGAATTTAGAGTGCAGCTGTTTGTTTATTTATAGAGATGTTCATTGGGGCAGTGAGTCAAAATGTATTAGATGTGGCAAGGACGAGTGCTGCCACATGCAGACTCCCCTTGTGTAGAGTGGATCTTCAGTGCTGGTTTGTTTGTGAGGGTAAGTACATGAGCATTACGTATTCATTATCTTAATAATTGTGTATGCATGACTGACAGGCATAATAGATGACAACTTTGTGGAAAAACAGGATATAGTATAGACTGTCCTGATCAGAAACCTAATATAAATGCCAGCCTCCTGTGAAGAGAAACTTAATCTTGCCCTCAACATTAAATGTATGTAGAATGAAGCAGTGTGAGATTTAAAGTCTGTCAAGTGATTGAAGAAATGCTGGGGTCTATGTTGAAACCATGTGTGTGACTTCTGTTCTCCATGCCATGCTGAGAAATACAATGAAGTGCTTTTAAAGGAGCATAGCTCCATTTTTCTTTGTCCAATTAGAAACTAGTATTTTCTGGGCACTACATGTTACCAAATTTGACTGTATTCTTAGTGTGAGCTGTCCTGATGTGAGGACAGGGTAAAGTTCATGCCAGATGGTAAGGTCACTTCAACTCCTTTCTGCCTTTGTAATGCAGTTTCATTCAGATACGCTGGTAAATTGCGAGTAACTTAAATATTTTTGACTTCTGCATGATGACACAATACTCATTTTTTGGAGTGCATTTACTTAAAGAACAACTTGACTCTACAGTAGATAGAAGCATAGGTACTTACCACATGGTTACATGAAATTTCTCTTCAATTAGTAATAATAATCAATCCTGTCAAATACAATAAAATACTTCATTTTCTCTTAGTCTGCACCAAAGGAATAAATGTACATGAAATTGTAACATCTTCGATGTGACAGTGTTTTTTTTTTCCAAGATTTAGATATTTTTTTCCATCTGTTCATGTATATGCTGGTGAAGAACTGACATCAAAAAGGAGAGATAGTGGTTCTTTATTTTATTTAAATTTTGACATCCCTGGCTTTTATGTATGTAGAAATGAAGTAGTGTTTCTAATCCAAGACGTATTCAGCACAATTTGGTGATCACTATAGTGAGACTGGTCTACCAATTTTAAATTGCGTATCTTGACATAACAATATTTGTGAATGGAAAAAAGGGGAGTAAATACTAATGCAACCACAAGGTATCTGTTTTTCCTCGGTATTGCCCCGTCCACAGTTGTGCTGGAATTGACAGGAGCTAACAGAACATCTATGGAAAATGCCGGAAGGAGTCGTAGCGCCTGACTGAAAGGGAGCCATTTTGTTACTGTCACCTGTGTTTCAATAACTCCTTCAAGACCTGGCAGCCTTTGATGCTGCTGCCCACAGTGGCCCTGCCGTGACCCGCATGCCAGCACACCTCTCAATGCAGCCAATATGCTGATAACCTTACATGATATGCTCACTTCTAACCCAGACCCGTTTCGCAGCCCAGATCCCTGAGCCACCACATGGACGCTCGGCCCGTGTGGGGTGCCTATGGATGGTCTGGCCGGACAAGCCAGAGGCAAGGTTGGGGAGCTGCTGCATGACCCAACACGTGTATTTAGCGGTCCTTGCATGCATTTTCTTGGCACGTCTGATCCAATCTGCTGAAAAAAAAAAAATAATTGCTTCATTGCTTAGAAAGTAATTGCAATATGAGCATTTCAGGAGTAACACAATGGTATGGAAAAGCGTGTCCATGTAATACCTGTTTTAATGTGTACATCTGGTATGTTCTAGTCCAAGGAGGGAAAATCCCTGTAGGCTGAGGAGTGTTTCTGGTTTACTGAGGATAGTCTCTTCAGGCGATAGAAAAAAAGAAAAAGCCAAAAGCTACCTGTAGTGGGCAGCCCAGAGCAGGAATCCAACGTGACCACACCAAATGGCCGTGTCAGGGAGCCCGATTCTGTCCATTGCCTACCGAGGGAGCCTAAACTGAATCTGCTCCATACAGCTGGCTTTTGGGAAAGCCTCTTGGCTTTCAGACCCCGGTGGTAGATAGTTAATGTGTCCTGCTGACAGTAAATTAGTTATTGGGTGGGTATCATCTGCTTCTTCCAGCCAGAGCAGAAGTAATGGCAGCGGTAGGAAGTGTGTGGGGGTTAATCCTTTCAAGTGAGCACCTGATTAAAAAGTCTGCCATTTAGTAGTGTAATACCTAGTTTTGTCAAGCTGTGGCCTTTTGATTAGTAAAAATGTTTTTGTTAGACTGGTGAATTATCATTTTAGTATTTCTCTTCTTGCTCTTATTTTGCATTTTTCTGCAGTGCACTAAGGCGATCAACTTGAGAGGTGTATTCTCAGTCTGCCAGCCAAGTCTCCTCCTGACTAGCAATACAAATATAAATGCTACTGTTGTATATGGAGTGGTAATTCGTGTCGAGAAAATGATTGATATTAATAAAGAAGGGGGAGATTTGAGAGAGTGGCCATGGGGGTTGGAAAGCCCCGTGATTGAGATAACATTAGACTCTTAACGATGAGGCCATCAGGAATATAAAAGAGTTTAGAGGCAACAAAGAAGGGTGATTCAGGAGACGCCATGCAGTCTCCAGTTTCTTGTTCTCCAGCCGTTAAGGCATGGAAGTTTCTGGGTGTTTGCTGTTGTTGTTATATTCAAAGTTGTTTGACCAATGAAAAGTTGTTTTGAAACGAACTGCTGTGGAGAGAAGGGTATAAGAGGGGAGCCTGCCCTCAAGTTAAAAAAAAAAAAAAGGCAACACGATGTGATGAAGTTATGTCATCAATAAAGAAGCAGAAAGAAGGAATGAAAAGGAACAGGCTGGCAGAACGGAGACCAGGACGGGAACAGGCACATTGATCGCCTCATGAAGGTAGGTTCGGCCAGACTCAGCAAACTGCTCAGAGAAGCTCGTACAGAAAGTCACTGGAAATGGGCACACTGGAGCTGGGAAGAAGCTGGAGCTGAGAGAAGCGGACCTGTGCACACAACTGCCTCTCGCCGGTAAGCAGCTGCGCATTGTGGAGAATCATAGGTCCTTAGGAACAAAGACTGTCCTGGTAACCTTACAGCTTATTCTCCTTATTAACAATCAGACAGTTTATGATCCTGAAATATGGGACCAAACTGAGGTCAAGGTGTGGGACTCTGCAACTAAAAATGACAAGGTGGCAGTGGGATTGCTCGGCACCTGGTGAGCAGTCTCTGAGGCCTTAAAGAGCCATGTGGGACCACAGTCAGAAACGTGGGGTTTGCCAGATAGTGAGGGAGCTGCGGGCTCCTTTACTGATCCTTCTGCTATGCCATGGGCCCCTCTGCTGCTACAGCCATCGAAGGCCTTTGCTGTTCCGCCCCCTGTTGACCTGGACGTGCCTTTTGACCCAGGCCTATTGGCCTTGAAAAGGAGATGGATGCTTTTCTTCGATCCGGGAGGAACGGGATACATAAGGCCTGAAGACCGAGTTGCTTGACAACTTAAAGCGAGACATATTGTTCAAAGGGAATGGAAAATGGAGACTTGTTAGTAATCAAGAAAAGGAATGGAAAATGGAGACTGTTAAGTCATGGAACTTAAAGGATTGTTTGTTACCTTTTCTGATTGTATAGGCGTACTCGGTGTATAGTATGTAAAGAAATGTTCTGTATATTTAGAATGTTTGATGTTCTTGTGTGCATGTTGGTGGAACCTAAGACTCCCCGCACACCCAGCGCTGTTTACTTCCCTTTTATACCTTTTATATCTTTTATAAGTATAAATTACTAGATTGTGATTGAATTGAGACTTCATTTATAACACTACTGATGTGTTTTTTTTAATACCCTGTATCAATTTGGCTGCTAGTTTGCATGCTGTGTAAACTCAGACTCCTTCTGCATGTGTAGTATGTGTGAAACATACTACAAATTAGTCGATTAATTGTGGCCAGCATTTGTAGGCTACGCAAGGTTTATTTGAACTTTTTAAAAGCATTTCATGTACTGTAGAAGTCAAACTGCAACTGAAACATTTGTGCACATCCATGGATTGTTCAGGTTACACGCTGTTGGTGGCATCCCTTGAATAAAAGCTAGCTATGTTGGGAGGCTTGATGTGCAGAAAATGTCAATGTGTGTTTTTTTCCTCTGTGTGTATGATGGGTGCAAGGTGGAGGAGGAAGGGGTAGTAGGAAAGGGCACTAGAAACACTTTCACAATTTAGCTCCCTACACTCCAGAATTAACAGAGCTATATAGTTGTAAAGATTTAAAAAAAAAAATCCTCTTTGCTGTCTAAAATAGTTTGTCTTCCTAAGACACAGAACCTCCAATGAGGTGACTTAGTGAGAGTGTTTTGTTGGTCCCTTTGAGAGGATTTAGAATCACCAGTACGTATCTGCCTGGGATTTCCTGGACAGAAATGTATGGGAATGTACAGGAAATAAGAAAACTGCAACTTGCAGCAAATGTGGTGGAGAGCAGCCTCTGAATGAAGAGCAGCAAGTCTGGCACATCCTAAATAAATGAGATACTTTCAAAATAACAATATCCAAAAAAAGAAAAGAAATCGCTTTCCTTTATAAATAATATTGAAGAATATACTGTATTTATAAATTATTATTGAAGATACAGTTCAGAAACAAAAGAAATCTTACATCATCACAAGAACAGAAATATTCGAGTATTGTAGTGTTTATTGAATAGAATTTGTATAAAATCACAGCTTTTACATTTGTTTCTCATGGTGAAGGCATAGCAGGTAAGCTTCTCACTTAAATCAATAAAACTTCCTTTTTTTTTTTAAATTTAGAAAGCCATTGATGCAAAGCACTTCTTTTGTTTGTATGTGTTTTTGTTCTAGTTGTTCTCCAACATCAAAGATGGTGAAAGCTTCCAGTTGTTTGAGCAAGGTCATCGCACTGCACACAAGCAAGAATGTCACACCATGGAGGCAGTGAGGCTGGTGGAGTTCAATCTGAAGCAAGTGCTCACAAAACTCATGACTCACATCTTTGGTGATGGTAGGTTCTTGCACCTTTTTTCCTGGCCTGCTGGTAGCAGTGGGCATTCATACTTTTGAGAAAGATTTTGCTGCATAACAAAAATGGGAGACTTCAGGAGGGGTGACGTTGACAGCTGGTATTCTGAAATAGTCATACATGTTTGTAATTTTGGGAGTCCTCATCCATATTCTTTATTTACATTTTTGTCTTAAGTTTTGTATAAGAGTTCCATTCAAGTGTCTTTTAATTTTTGATTGGTCTTACACCTGTAGTCTGCATTTTATTTATTTATTTATTTAAATACTATTATATGTGCACCTTATAAAATTATCAAACACAGCCCAACACACCACACACTCGTCTCTTAATTTTCCTGAATACTGGTTCGCACAATGCTGTGAGCTGAAGAGATTTTAGTTATGCCAGTGTGTCCAGGTAACGTAGCAGGCATGAATACAGATAGGGACACGTCTGATCCAAATACAGGCTCTCATCTGGCAGCACGGAGCTTGGCAGAAGGAGGTGTACATATGTGCATGTGTTGCTTTGGTATATGTGACCGCAGAGTGCCCTTACCACTTCCCTCACATGAATAAATAAAACTTTGCAGCTAAGGGGAGACAGTGTTTGCTAAGTTTGCACCAAGATGAAAAATAATTGTTGTTTGGTACTTAGAGTGGACTGAGAAAGGGTAATGAATGTCTGTGTATAAGAATGAAATATCCTCTCCTCAGAAATACCTGCTTTTGGTTTCAGTAGCTGCTGAATTTATAAATGGCCTGAGTTAAAATTGCTGCCCTAATGCTATTTCCTGGCAAAGAGGCTGCTCTTCTGAACTGATTCATTTTTCTGTTGAGGAAATACTGGATAGCATTAGGATGCATGGAGAATGCTGGCTACTTTCAAAGCTCTTTTAAGATGCCCACTGAATTTAGAGCAGTAGTTCCAAGAGCGGATTGATGATGGTAACAAGTCCTTTCTATGACTCTTTGAATATTATTCTGATATTCTAAAGGAGAATTTACAGCAAGAGAAACTTTTAACAGCTTTTGTTTTATCCTGCATGGACAGAAATTTTTTAGGTTCCTGAACTCAGTTTTTTCTGTGGTTGTATTTAGCAGCATGTGTATTTGACTTAACAGCAGCCTTTTGAAATGCATAAAATTAGGATCAAAGTGAGCAATTGGAAGAATGGTATTTTTAGATGAACCTCATATGCTAAGGATGTTGTTGAAATAAGCAATTCTTAGCCATTATTAGTTATATTTGAAACTGTAGTGACATCCTTCCCTAGCTGTTGACAGAAGCAGCACTTTAAGCTTTAGAATGTTGGCTATTATTAATTTTTCCAGAGCTCACATGATAGCTAGAAAGACATTAAAAAAATTATACAGACTGAAAGTAGATGCCTCTTACTGTAGGGATTTTCTATGTCTATATACACAATATTTTTCCTGAAACACAAAGACAAGATATATAATGATTTAAATATGATTGTCTCTCTTTTTTTACCCCACTCCCCCATGTAAATGTGATGCTATCTCTCCTTCATTGTCTTGATCTTGTAAGCTGTCAATAAAAACAGGAAAGTAATACTCAGAGAAGCAAACTTCATGCCAGGCACTAGATGTACAAGATGAGCGGAATGCAAGTGACCTGAGGCACACATAATTAAATTTATATTTTGACACCTGTTGTCTTTAATTTTTTTTTTCACTTTACTTTTAATTAATTTTTGTGTCTCATTTCTCTGATACATCCCATCAAGTCCCATTAACCTGTATGTGTCCAATTCGTATGGTTTGTCCCTCACTCAGCCCTCCCCTGCTATTGGTGGTTTGCCATTTCTTTGTAGTTGCTTCTTGATATAGAGGTTTGGGGGCTGACTTCACCTGTGAAGACCAAAGTAAAAAAGGCCCTGAGTATCTCAGCCTTTTCTTCTTACACTTCTGCTTGTTATTGACTTACTTACAGAAGGTTCCTTGTTATTTGTGACAACCCAAACCAGTTTGAGCTCCAGCTGGGCTTCTGCCTTTCTAGCAGCATCTGTGCATGCCCAAGTAGTATTTGTTTGCATTTTCTGGGAGTCTGTCCCTTTTTCCATCTCTCATATACTTTTTATTTGCATTTGGGCTCACTACATAGCTTACTGTTTAACCGGGTTGTTTTCATGTTTCGACAGCTTTTTTTAATTTTTAATTTTATTTTGCTACTCATCCTCCTCATGCCCCTTAGGATCTTAAACTCTGCAATCTTATAAACACTGTAGTCAAGGGTGCTTTTGACAGTAATGTCTCTGACCAAGTCATCTTTATTTATAAGGAGTAGGTCCAGGTTACTTGCCTGTTATTAAATAAATGTGTTGTATTATCTTCCCCAGGTATACTGGTTTCCAAGGACCTGTTTCCAAACTAATTCTCATTCTGTTTTTTGCTTACACTTTCAATCTTTATCACCTTTCAATCTTTATCCCTTTTGTATTATTTTTAGTGTTTGCTGCAAATTCTAGTTGTCTTATAACAAACACACACAACTAGTGGGGGCCGTTGCTGTCATTTTTAACCCATTAGGGAAGTCCCTGTTTTTACAACAATTTTTTACATAATGAGGGGTGTGAAAATCCCCATAAAATTTAAACAAACAAAAAAGCTCTCCCAAATCTCTGTCTAGAAATGTTCCTGTCTTTCTATTGCTACAGTTTTAGAAACAAGATTTCACCTGTTGGGATATATAGAGAAAGAGGGAAGCGTGGCCTTTAAAACATTGGACACATGTTCCTGTTAATGTATTTCTCATTTGGGTCTTCAGGAAGCACACACACTGATTTGCTCCTCTGCTGAGAAAACACCAATGTGGAGGTGGAAAGGGCTCACAAGTACTGCAGCCCACAGCAGTCTTGGGTATGCTGCTGTGCTTCGTGTGTCTCTCGTGACAACACAAAAGTCTTGCAGAGGGCAGTGGCTCACAACTGGCCGGGTGGAATAGGCTACACCCAGTTGTATTTGGGGTGTTTCCACGCGGTCGATAAATGCTTCCAACTTTCATCCCATTTCTTACAAGACGACAGCCTTAATGAATGTAGCTCTTATCCTGCTGAGGCAACTACAGGAACTAAGCAGTGGGGATTTTGGAAAGCAAAGAGATTTGTGGTGAGGGTCAGCTGCTTTGTCAAGTTAAGTTGCAAAGGGTTTTGAGCTCAAAGCTGAGCATACTGGTTTCTCATGTGTTGGTTGAAAGCCTGTCCCTAAATATATTCATTTCGTCTTGTAGTATTTTCATTAGATTCTCCTCAAAGTTTTCTTTAGTGGTTCACTATTGTCATATTTACCTAACAAATTCCTAGGCTACCTGTAAGAGAAGGTGGGAAGATGAGTAATGCCGTATTTTAATTAATAGTTCTGCTATTGTTAGTTGTCATCAAACAGCCACTGAATGTCATTTAAATCAAACACATTGCTCTCATCTTTCTTTTTAACTCTTGTACTGATATCTGTAGAGTGCATTGACTGCTGACAATTAACATCGACAATTTATATTAGCTGAATTGGAGGTGTGGGCTACTCAGCAGTTGACTTCTCTGGTGGCCCCAACTCAATGCCTTCTGTTCTCCTTGCACAACTTTCCTCTCTCTCCCACAGACTGTTTCTCTAAATATAATCCTCATAGCAACAAAGAGAACTTCTGGTCAGCAAAAACCATCTGGGTCTCTGGCTTTGTTGCTTCAACACCACGGCGTAGCAATAGACTGCTTTGATGTGTTGGTCGCTTTCTTTTCTTTTTTAGTGCCTTTGGTCAAGCCTTTTTCGTCGTGAGACTCAATTAGTACTAGCACTGGCAGATACTTGTTTAGTTTAATATCTGATAAGACCATTACTTCGAGTGCAAGTTAGGACCAATTTCTTACCTAGATTCACTACTTAGAAATAGCAGTAACTATTAAATTTTTCCTTTCTCACTGGAGATGCAATACCTAGGTTGCTAACGTACACGTGCCCGCTGGAAGGACTCCCATGGACATCATGAGGATGAGCTAATATAAATAATTCCTTGTAACTAGTGAAATTACTGATTTTGTATCCAGTGATCAGACACTGTTTAGATTCTGCATTATGCTCTCTTAAGTGCACCCCTGAGTTTTTGGTCAGATATGCATCTCTCGGCCTCCTCAAATGTCTAGAAAAGATAATTTTTTACCAGGATAACCATAGTCTTTATATGCAGAAATATATCAGGCCTAATCAAGTAAATTATCTGATACTACAGAATGCATGATCTTCACAATCCTTTAAGTCTTTAGTGTTTTAATTTTCTGAGTGTGAGCAATGTCCTTTAATCCTTGGGAATATGCTGAGTACAAAGACAATAATTTGTCTAAATAATAAACATAACCATTTATTCTGTGATTATGGAGAGGCTTAATCTTGCTGAAGGCTGAGTGCCCTCTGCTTTTCAGTAGAGTCTTCCAGAATCAGAAGTCTCAAAGAAGACTTCGCAGAGATATTCCTGGGTGTCCTGGCTACAGATAGATACAATTACGTGTCATATGGGCTTAATTTAGAGAGCAGAGTGAAGGTGAGAGCTGTTTCTTCCTTGTGAATATATATATATATTTTTTTTTCGTATTTACATTTAAAATGAGTGTCCCTTAAGAAAAGTACTTAGAAGTCTTAAAACTCAAAAAAACAAAAAGCAACGAAAAACCACTTTATTTTATTTCATCTTTTAAAATTTAATTAAGAATGAAAAGCAGATAGTTTTTTTTTTCTGAGCTTCTTTTTAAAGTAATTAGATGATTAAAAAGAAACCACAGTCAGAATGTTGTTTCTGAACATCAAACTACTTGAAATTCCATGTCATTCTTGCTGCAGTTGCAAATTTTGCAATCTAAATGAAAATATTTTGTGTGCATAGCTTCGCAGTGAATGCATAATTGTACAGCCCTAGGATTAAAAACGCATTTGTACAAAGATTGGGAAATTAAGAAACTGTTTTCCACATACCATTCTGTTGTATGCACATGACTGTATCCCACCTATGTGATTTTTTTTATCATTATGTACACAAAAACACTGTATGGTGATTGATCGCTGTAAGTTGTAATGTAGTTGTAAATGGTATAATTGCTAATGCTTCCAATTTTCTGAATTCTTTGTGTAAAATTATCAAAGCACGTCTAATGTATAAACTCGCTGAGGTTGAATTTTAAGAGAGAGAAGAAAATTTAGAAGTACCAATGTGTTTGTTTTGAAACCTGCCAGTCCATTTGAAAGTTCATTACATCCAAAAATGTACCTTGTAGCTGTCAGGTCTTTTAGGTTTGGCTGTACATGCATACTTCTGTTGTAACTTACTGTTTCTGTAGCCACATCTAATGTTTCAGAAGTGATCAAAGAAAATCTAATTCTGGAGGCTACAACAAATGTTTTGATTTGAAAAACTCAGTATAGATCATGGGTTTTCACATTAAGTTCCTTTTATGAAACAAAGCCCCCAAGCCAAACCAGGGGTGTTAACAGTTCCATCACCCAAACAACCTTCGCTCTGCCCTTTGTTTTCAGAACTGGGCCTGCCGGCTTGTTAATGAGCCTATTGATGGTTAGAATTTGGCTTAGCTGAAGGGAAGGATGGTATTGGGGTTAAGGCATTGAGCAGAGGATTAGCAGTTCAATTCTCTTCTGAATTTTTATGGTTCATGTTTCCGAAACCTTGTTTTTCCTGGCACCTAATGGCTAGAGAAAAATCTTTAGCAACAGACTGCTTGTGTAAATGATTACAAGAACTAAAACCCATCAAATATAATGAGGTCCTTGACTACAGCCCTGCATTTGACAGTGCTGTAGACCTTGCCCTCTTCTGGCTCTGCTGCTCTGCAATGTCAGGTGGTTCCCATCTCTCCTCAGTGGGACTTGAGATGTGGGGAGGAGAGGGAATTAGCAAGTGCCACTGCACTCTTGCACTTCACATCCATGCAAAATTTAAAGCTGGTCTCTTGGGAGCTCCACAGGTCCAGAGTTCTCTCTGTGTTTGCATGTGGCATACCTAAATAATGCTGTACATCTCTCTCTGCCTGTGTATATGTTCATATAATTTTGTGTATAGACATATATTTTTAACATCTATATTTAAACATACACAGAAAGAATCTCTCTATATTTTAAATAGGTTCTGATGAAAAAAATTGCTTGCCTAGCTGATCAGCAAAATGCAATGGAAAATTTAAGACTTAGTTTTTCTGTGAGGAGCAGTTAGTCATTTCCTGGTGCAGAGAATAACAAAATTACTGACTTTCCAATGATCTTGGCTCATTTTCATTCTATGCCAGGTGGTTGCTAGAGTTTGACAAATGATAGATTTGGTTTCAAAGGGTGCTTGAATTGCACAAAGTGTTTTTCATATTAGGGAAGACATGGTCATTTTTTTCCACAAGTTTTAAGATTTATCGCCTTGCACAAGTGTTGTAAATTAGTTTGTTTGCTATTTATTTTCTCTGGATTGCTGTAATTGGTGTCATTAGTTGAAGGGCAAGTTTTACAGATGGTTGGGAGGGATGGCCTTTTATGCATACACTCGTTATATTTATTTATTTTTTTAAACACTGCTACAGGACTGCAAGTCAGATGGGTAGACTGCTACTTCCCGTTTACTCACCCTTCCTTTGAGATGGAGATCAACTTCCAAGGAGAATGGCTGGAGGTCCTGGGCTGTGGGGTCATGGAGCAACAGCTAGTTAACTCAGGTACTGAAACTCCTTTACTTCATTGACATCTCTATTAGCAAACACTTCCAGTGCAATCAGTTTCACAGCCTGAAATGCCCCCCTTTCTCCTGGTGAGTGCAGGCATCTCTGTTAGCAGCAGCTGCCACAAATAGTCCTCAGGTGGAAGGCAGTCCTTCCATGCTGTGATTGGAGTGTAACAACTGAGTGAGCTGGAGCCTGCAAACAGAAAGCTTGTCTTTCATTTTCTGCGATAAGGAGACAGACGGATCCCAGCTTTAAAAGAGAAACTGATGAATTAGGTTGTGCATTTTTCTGACTTAGAAGAGAAGTCAAGTGCATGCACAGTTATGATTTTAAGGTATTGTGAGCAAATAGCATCCCCTAGTATTTGAAATATGAGAGTGTTCCGGTATCTGTAACATGTAGAAAGAAGAAAGTGACTTCAATCATCATATTGCTAGTTAGTTGCTGGGTAAATGATAGGTTGCTTTTTGGTTCTGATTTTCCTCTATTATCCTCAGCTTTGTTAGTATGAGGTTGTAAATTTCATTAAGAGCCACATGATTTAAATTGGAATTATGACAGTAAAATGTCACATGACTATTTGCTTTCCAAAATTTATATATGAATACAAGGAAAGAGAGGAGAAATTATGTTTGTTTTTTTTTTTTAATTATTATTATTTTCACAGTGAGAATTTAACATGCTTGTCTTTTCAGTGACAATAGGCAATTCTGCTTAAGCACAGGGCAGCGCTCAGACCTCCATCAGTCAGTGTCTTTCAGTATTAGTTATTAGGTGTGGGAGCCTTTTGGAATATGATCCGTTTAATTCTCACAAGCACGCTTTCATATAGCCATAGAATACTCAGTTGATTTCACTGCAGTTGGTTTGCAAAGCTATTGTGTTTTAATGTGCTCTAAATACGTTCTTTTGAAGTCCAAGTAGGATACCTATAAACGGCCCCAGGTTATTTGGCACTGCTTTATTTTCTTCAAAGCTTGCATATGTCTTAATATGATCATTTTACTTTAATAAAGATGAATTCCTTTCCAGAGTTTCTCACCAATGGGTTAATGCTTTATGCCAATGTACTTTATCAGGCTGTTGTGTTCATGGTGTGGTAAATATAACACAGGTTCTGATCAGCCTCAGAAGTGAAAGAGTGCTGTGTAATATTATTTTGATCAGATGTAATATGCTAATGGCCAGACTTCCTTCTTTAAAAGCTTTTATGCTGCTCAGTTCTTACGTTTAGGTTCTTTTAATGTGTGTGAGGAGAGCTAAACTGTGGCCCCGAAACAATTACTGTATGTGTTTATTTGTGTGTGTGAATGAATGTACATGAAATGCCAACAGGCAGTTTTCTACAGCAGTCAAAATTTTCAATTTAATCTGTCTCAGCTGTTTCTCACCTCTCTGAATTACGGTCTTCAATGTTATATCCCTTCTGCACCAAAACTCTACTATTTATTGTAATTCTAATCTTCCAAGACAACATGAATTTATTAATTCAAGTCTAGCTTTTGAACACCTTGTGAATTTGTATTATTAGTTGGAAAAACAAACAAACAGAAAAAAAAACACAAAACAAAACACAAAGAAGGACAGGTTCTTTTCCTTTATTAGCAAGATACTTTTAGAGGGTTGGACCGTTGAAGAAGTGCCAATCATTTTTCACTTCATTTAGGAGTTTCACTTTATGCAGCCATACTTTTGTTTTTCAGCTCCCTCTGGTAATTGCAAAAATACGTGATTACAGCATCTGAGTCTAATGTAGTTTTTGAAGCATTGAGATCTGTTTACTTTTAGTGAGGAAGAAGTGTGGTAATAATTTGTGTTGGCTAACAATTAGCTTATTTGATTTTAAAGTAACATTGCAGACAAGTTAGTTCACATTTTCAATCAAGTAAGGAGTCAAACACAAGCCTCCCCTGCTTACTACTGCTCAGAGCATTCTTTTCTTTAATCCTTTTTCACAAAAATTTATAAATCCAGTAGTTTCCTGGCATGCCAAACTGCATCTTTTTATGATGAAGCCAGGTTTGCTACTACTAACCCATAGTTGTTTTTTTGTGTATGTGTGTTGGTGTGATGTGGCAGCAATCTGCCTTTGCCCAAAACTGAAAATGCAGAAGTCCAGAAAAAGATACTCTGTGGAAAAGAATGAAGGTGAAAATTTTCTTTCCTTTCTCCTTCATCTTTTTTTTTTTTTTTCCTCTTCCTATTAGGACTTGAGTATCCTCTAAAACTATCTTGAAAATAAGTGTTTCCTTAATACTTACCTGCTACCTTTAGAATGTCTCTAATGTTTCTAGTATCCACAATCTCTAGTCCCATCTTTGAAACACCAAAGGTTTAGTTTAAAAGCCTTCAGTTTTAAACAAGCTCCAACTCTACTCAACCCTACAGGTGTATTTCCTCGACCAGAGAGTAAATGCTGGTGCCTACACCTCCCTGCTCTGTATCTTTCCGTTGTCAGGTGTCTAGAATAGGCACTGCAAATTGCCTCTTCCCATCTCAATCTCTTCATGGGCTCTACGAGAAAACACCTCAGTAGGACTGAATGAAAGAGAAGCATTACTCATTTTTGTCTGGTTAAATTTGTGCTGAAGGAATATTTCACTCTTGGTGTGCCGGTTTACCAGGTAAATACAGAAAGATCTTTTTATGGTGTGCTGCACAGCTTGGAGATAAAAAAAAAAAAAAAAAAAAAAAAAACACTGGAGAATAAACTGATGAATTTACAGATTATTTTTTTGTGTGTGTGATCTGTATCATTTCTAGTATCCTGCAGGTTTGGATTTTTGTTTTATGATTTTTTTTGGTCTTCACTTGATATTGAATATTACAGTGCACACTTCCGAAACCTAATGTGTGTTGGCAAGCATTGTTTTTCCTTCCATAAGAAAATATTTTCCTAAGGGAAAGAAAGATAGCTTTTTACCTTTAAAATCCTCAAATCCTTTTTTGTACGTGTTACTGCCCGCCGATGTAAGACTGGTTTGTAAGGCAATCAGAAACAATCACTCAAAGCAGAAGCTGCATGTGCCTGGTGACTGATGGTGGCTGTAACTTAAACAGCCCGCACAGATGACTTATTTATTTATTTTTCAGTTTTGTTGTGTTTCTGAGCTATCTATGATAGCAGAAGAACTGGTTATGCTTTACGGATGGATTAAAAGACAAGGTCCCTGCTACAGCAGGGCCAGGATATTGGGCCTTGAGTAGCTGTGTCTTTATGCTGGCTGAAGGCGATATCACAGTGGCAGATCCGTCAGTGACATCTTCCTGCATGAAATTGCTTCTCTGTAGTTCCTTAGCAGTCACCCTCCTCATGCAACAGATCTTGATGGTATTGACAGATCCTGTTAAGATTTTTAGTCTAGACTGAAGAATGTCGTTGTTGCTTTAATGCCCCATGGAATTGAGATTGGCGTTATATTTGTTAGATTGCTGCTTGCTGAAAGTGATTATTTTGTTGAAGTTTCTGATGCCTTCTTATGTTTGGGCAGGAACCTTTCCTTGATTTCTTTGATTTCACTTTAAAATTGAAAGTGATTCAGACATTCAGTGCATGTAAATAGAAATGTATTTGTTATAGGGTAAAACTGGTCAATCGGTTCAAATGTATTGATAGCACTCTGCTGCATCCCCTGTCTTTCTGCTATGCTCTTTTTTTCTTCTGAGAACTGCAAAGAGACTCTGTAGGCTTCTCCTTCTCCCCTGCTCCCTCCGCATGCTTCTTAATAAGCTAGATTTCCAGTTTCTGACCTAGATCTCCACAGTGTAGATGTAATAAAGAACCCAAATATAGCAGGCAGCAAAACAAACTAGCACTTTTTTTTTTTTTTTCTGTGGCGACTCATTGCTTCGTATTTTGTGGACTTTCACAGTGCTGTATCTCCCCTTTAAGTTTCGTATGTTAAATCAGTTTAGGATTTGCCCAGGAGGGGTAGCCAGCCTCATTCTTGGTCTTTTACTAGGCAGTGGGGATGATCCACTCTTCTGAACCATTCAGATTTTGTGTGTTAACAGTGAGTAAGGTTTCTGTTGTCTTGGTGTGTGGATGAGCAAATAAAAGCTGGTAGGCAGTGTAGCTACCATTTGCATTAAAGCCAATCCAGCTACTCAATATTTTTAATAGGAGTTGTGTGTATTTGGGAACGTCTCTTCTGACCAAATGGAGAATATGGTGATATTTACTATTTCTAACAGTGATATTTGCTATTTTAAAATAAAAGTAAAACATGCACCCTATGACTGTTTTTGTATAATTGTGGAAAAAATATGCAAGGATGCACAGAATTGTAACAAATATTGTTACAGTGTTCTCCCAAGGCTGACAGTGCTAAAACTAGAGCAGTTATTTACTGTAATGTAAACACAGAAGATCTCTATTATAATCTAATATTCAATAAGTATAAAATACAACTTATTGTACTGTTTAATTTTTCATTTTTATGTGCACTTTTTTCATCTTAAACTGCACCTGACTATGTAACTTTAATAGGAATGTTTTATATGCATTTTAATGTAAAGACAAATAATTTTTATTCTGGATAACACTGGAAGAATACAGAAAGCGTTACAGTATAGTAGCAAGTATTCTCAGTTTTAGGTCCACAAAGAAGGGATGAGGAAATTCTATGGTACAGTAGAACTGACATTGGTTAACATCACACAAGGTATTTATTTCTGTGCTTCAGGAGTTTGTTACCCAAGATTCATGAAGATTGTGTTCATTGGTGGCTGCTGAAGTTCCCAGGTCTGTATGGAATTATATGATTAAAACCTTTGAATACAGGATGCTGCTTACTCAGAGGCGGTGATCATAGTGTTGCTTAGTACCTGTGAAATTGGAAGCAGTTAGGGTGTGATCCTTTGCTGATTGAAATCAATGGCAATGTTCTCTGTGCTCACTGTTGCAGAATACGTTAGCTTGGGACAGAAGCATGAAAATTGGACTACTGAAGTTTGCCCCCAAACCAAGAAACAAAAAATCTCCCATTCATTAA